TCATGTGTCACCATGTCACATGGTACAAAAACCTTGCAAGAGCAGGACGACTTAAGACAGATGGTACAGCACCTCTCAGCCGGCTGAACAAACTGGAACAGCCTCCGTGACGACACAACTTTGCCCTTATTAGCTGAAGAACGTGACGTTTGTATGACGTTTGTATCCCAGGAAGTTCCGATGTGTAATCTGCTATTTCTCCCCGAATATCACGTAAAGCAGTGAGAACTGGTTTTCAGTTAATTTACCTGGTAAAATAATGTTTAAATAAATTACATAAATGCTTTAATAGTACATGTAAGTTAGTGGTTTATTTATTGTTAGTTACTGTAATGTTACGCTGCTTTATTTGTTTAATCGTCCAGTCTGTGAAGAGATTATTTTAGGGTGGCACATGCCCTTGAGGCTATCCCATTGGTGCTCCCGTCCGCAATACATCTACGCCCCCCAGTTTGGGAACCACTGCTTTATACATTATGCTCATTTTTAATTAATAGGTTAATTGCTTTTGGTCTCTTTGTTCTTTTCATTGTTTTGAAGACTTATGCCTTAAAACCTTACACCTTTTTTCTTGAAAATTCTGAACAATAACTGAAGCCCAGTTCCAGAGTGGTTTACATGCAACATGTTTGTTAGTTAACTGGATGAAAAGTTAATTAGTTTTTAGGTAATCAGCTTAGCATCAGCAGAGATGTAAATATGGTGAAGGGTTGGTGGTTTTGTTCTCGGGGCTGATTGTGGTTTCTGTGACCCCCCTGTCCCCTCTTGTCATACTTCAGGATGTACCGCCGCTGCTGTTCCACGTATGAGAGTGCCTCCCTGAGGATGTTCAGACTGGGTCGTACAGACACCATCCGTTCAGCCTCTATCGACTCGCTCGACTTCGCACGCGCCATGGATGACTCCGCCAAGCTGGTCAGTCCTCAGCAGCAGTTCTTGTTGGTTTCTCGTCTCCTTACCCTTACTGCCCAGGTCTCGATTTCATGTCCACCTGTGTTAACAGAACACAGAGAAGGTGGCCCTGATGGAGAAGGCTGTGAAGGCCCACAGAACCTACACTGACATGGTGAGTCCAGTGCTGTTCTAGGTGCAACGTGGTGCATAGTGGTTAAATGCCTGGATCAGTCACCGGAAGGTTGTGGATTTACGTCCCGGTGGTGGTATTTTCTCTAGTAACCTTTAGCACGGCACATCATATGAGTTTCCTCAGTGTTAATATTCTTCTGTACCATTATAGGGTTACACAGTGGCTCAGTGGGTTGTAATATAGCTTCAAACTCCAGGGTTTGGCTGTGATAGCTGGCCCCTGCTCAGTTTACATATGAGACGTGACGCCCAAAGGTTAATAATCTGTACAAACTCGGCGTATCCTTATGTTTATTAAATGTGTCGAACTTTAAACTGCAAAAAGTACCGCCACACCACTGACGTCTTTTCGCCTCGTTTATCCACAGTATCTCCTCTTTTAAAGGATGTTGTGGCTGCTGAGCTGTTCCTTTCTTCACCACCATTTCAATGCGTATCCCTTCCATGATTTACCAAAACGGTAGTATGTGGCGTGCTCTGCTAACGGAGTTTAATAAACATAAGAATGCGCCAAAATTATACAGATTACTAACTTTTGGGCATTACAATATGCCTCTCATTAATATTTTAGGTGTACTACCAATCTTTTTACCAAATTATGGGCGTAAGTAAACATCCAAATAGTACTGAAAAGTCGGCGTTGAGCAAAATGTTTGCGCCCGTCATCTAAAGTCCTGGTGATTATTGCACATGCGCCATATTATTGCCGTTATATCGGGATGTGATATCATGAAGCCATAGTTTCCTCCCACAGTCACTCAGTTGGCACCTAATTGCTAATGGACTGGTTTCCTGTCAGAGTCTACATCCGCTTCCTTATGCCCCAGACTGACTGTGAACCTGTGCTGGATAAGGGGCCATGGATGGGTGGATGTCCAGTTAAATGCTAAATGAGTGACTTTGTCACGCCATTGGCCAAGAGTATCTATGTTTTGGTTTCTTCTCCCTTGCAGGCAATCCGCGGTCAGGCCATAGATCGGCATCTCCTGGGCCTCAGGCTCCAAGCCCATGATGACTTGATATCCATACCCAAGGTCTTCATGGACACCTCCTATGCTGTGGCCATGCACTACAATCTCTCCACCAGTCAGGTAGGCTGTAATCCTCGGGGTAGCATGTCCAAAAATTGTACATTCATCTCCAACCATTGACTGAGTCTGAGGAATGCATTCAGTTCCTCTGACTGGCCTGAAATGGCGTCCTCAGCAAAATTCCATAAAATATTTTCTGTTGTTTAGATTTACTTTGGTCAGAATTTATACCTGTAGTCACTTTTCCCTGATATAATAATGGAACACCAGTAATAAAATCATGTATGTAATTTTTTATTGCATTTAATATGCTCTGAACATGTGAGTATATCATCCTCACAGCCTTTTCACAGAACCAAAGACTCGTGGGTTAATAAATAGTAACAATACAGGAAGGCTGTTTCAGAAGGTTGACAGAGATGGACCCTCAGTTTTTGAGTGGAATAGCCCTTAACGAAGACAGAACAGGCTTGTTGCTTAGCAACGCATGGATATTCCTGACGCACTCTGTGCTCCCTCTTAAGGTACCGGCCAAGACAGACTGCGTGATGTGCTTCGGGCCAGTGGTGCCGGACGGCTACGGCGTCTGCTACAACCCCATGGAGGACCACATCAACTTCTCTGTGTCAGCTTTCAATAGCTGTGCAGAGACCAATGCCACAGAGCTGGCACACGGCCTGGAGGGGGCGCTGCTGGACATGAAGGTCCTGCTGGAGCAGACGCCTAAGGCCAGGCTGTGATAGTGGATGCTTTGCCACAGACAGCAGCCAGGGGGCAGCAGGGTCACCTTTTGCATTTAGCTGGAATGGACAGGTGTGTGTGTGGAGGGAAAACTTAATACCTTCCAGAAATGAGTGAATGGGGAACAATTTAATTAAAATGATCCTGGATGCTTATAAGTGCCGTCTTACAGCTACTTATATGACAGCTGCTGTTGGACAGTGGGACTGCAACACGAACAGCATTGATGACCTTGGGGGTTTGGAGAGCTGCTGACGGGAGAGTTTGCTGTGTATGAACATGACCCTCCTTAATCACCCCATTTGGTGACAAAGGGCTTGGCTATTTTTACTTTGGATGTTTTATGAAAACACTAATAAGGCAAAAAAAAAAACTAAATATCTTCATATCACTTGATGCTTCTTGCAAAACAATAATTTGTGTCTCCTTGCCTGGTGCCCTATGATGGACTGGCATCCATTTCAGGGTGCCCCTTGCCTGGTGCCCTTTGGTAGACTGGCATCCATGTCAGGGTGCCCCCTGCTTGGTGCCCTTTGGTAGACTGGCATCCATGTCAGGGTGCCCCCTGCTTGGTGCCCTTTGGTAGACTGGCATCCATATCTGCCCATCCAGTCTCATCATGACCCGGTGAGGGATAAACTGTATGGAACATGAATGCATTACTATTTCACCTCTGAGATTAGGACGTAGAAAGAGCTGCCGTTTTGTATTTTACATGTTTCTGAGCCTTTTTTAAGCATGACATCTGGGCATAATCATGTTCTCAAGCACTTACTTTCTGCCTTTACAGTGTCCATCATTCCAGTAAAATGTTAGTGATCTTAAAATGACATAAGCTGTCATCGAGTTCGAAGTCTAAGAGTTTACTCAGTCCACTTTTTATTTCCACTCTGATTCTGGTTAGATTTGATTCTGATTCTGGCACAGAGATTTATTGGCATCTGATTTTTCCACCTGACATACATCCTATTATGGATGAGTGACAGTATGCACTGTAGGCTCTCTTTGTGTAATGTTACTTTTCTCTGTCTTTGAGCCATGTCTGTTGTCATTGACATGCTGATAAAGCTGAGAATGGGACTGCAGTAACTAATTGAACCCAGTTTAATAAGATTAAACATGTGGGTGATTGAGAGCATGGATGCATCCTGATTCGCATACTTTCGGGTATGACTATTACATGTTTACCCCAATGGAGAATTAAAATATTTGATTCAGGTCCTGTATGCATTTTGCACATTGTCACGTGTGCCAGTTTGTTTTAAACTGCAATATGGTCTTATGTTTGATTTCCTTTAATTAACTTAGAAAACTTCTACTTTTAGTGTTTTTTTTTTTTTAATAATGTCATATTTTGAAAATGTAATATTTGATTCGAGCACATAAACATCTTTGATTACTCTTGTGCCTTGTATATATGTGAATGAATATGATCTAAGTGATATTCTGTGGACAGCATTTCAATAAAATAAAGATTAAAAATCAGATCTAGTTGGATTCAGGGGGGTTAATCTATGCATAATATATTTAATATATTAAATAGGCAGATTCTGCTTCTTTCTGGATGATTTGTACAAGGACCTTGGCTATTATAGCCCTATCTTATTAAGACTATTATTATTTTAGAAGATGGAGCTTGATGGATAGCCCCGAGGGAGTTTCTGTTAACCAGCAGCGCTACAATTACAGCACTGTGTTTTCTGTACTGTCAGTCTTCTTCAGTGAGATGTTCAGGAAAGAAAACGTATACCTAAATTAAGCAACTTGCTGTGAAATTAAATTTTAATCTCAGACAAGAAAAGTACCTGACAGTCTTTAAGAGCCATTTCATCGTTAGAAATATTGGTTTTAGCTTCTCCAGTTTGCGCTTGTAATTGACCCTGACCGAGATGAGCAGTTAGAAGATTGATGTAAATACGGTTAAGCTCGCCCTTCAGGGGTGTTACAGTGAACTGTCTCTATGGATTAGCATTAGCATTACCTTTAGCTAGGATACTACTCGCGGTGTAATCTAATTATAATTGCCAGTTAGAATTGCAGAGACAATGGCGTCGTAGGCGCGGCGGGGGGTCTTGACCGCAGAATGGCTTCCACGTGGTGACGGAACCCGGAAGTTGAGGGAGGAGTTGGATTAATTAGGACACGCCCCTGACCTCACGACGTCACATATCCAGAAGTCGGCTCGGCGATGTTGTTATGAAAAAATGGCGGCTGACAGGAGGTGTGCGTTCAGGCGTGTTTTATTTATTTTGCTTATCGGATGGAGCCACTGTCGACAGCACCATCTCATTCTCAAGGTACGAAATAACGCCGATCGGGCTAAACTGGTCGCTGTCTGCGCGGTGTAGTAGTATGGAACCGTTCAACGCTCCCCCCCCCCCGCGATCAAGGGAGTAGCTATCTAGCTAGTAGTATTAGGTGGCTAGTTAGCACTACGGAAGGCTTGAGCATAGCCAGTGGTAATCCTAACAAATGGTTGGCTAAGTAAATTAAGCTGATTTAAATGTAGGATGTTAGGTTGCGTGAAACCCTTACACCTTCAGCTAGCCTAAGTTCCGTGTATTTTGTTGCTCATTGCCCTTGGCAGTACATATAGTTGTACATATATATCCGTATTAAAACGGGGCTGATTATCTAGGGTACGTGTTAAGTTTTCGGTGGCGTCTGTCTACATAGTAGCAGCTCCTTGAGTAATGCTGACAGTACTTTCTTTTATCGATCGCTGATTGGGTGGTTAAACCGCTGTGTCTTGACTGCTTGTCTATGTGACGCTGGTACTTGTTTCAGAGTAACAACGCAGTTCTCATGTGAGGACTGCAGGGGGTCAGAGGTGACCATGGGGGACGGGAAGGGCTGGCGGTTTAGCCTGTTGATGCTTTAAGATTGCTGGTGAAATCATAGTGTACCCGGGACACGTAAGAGTAATGGGTTATTTAAAAAGTGTATAATTAAGGAAAGTGACAGTCATGCTGAGTTATTTGAGTTAAGTGTAACAGGATTTTTGTGTCTTCTCAGAGACGGTCGCAGTCGACTGTTACATGGAGACTTGTTTGAGATTTGTGTGTGCCCCTGCCCCCACACAGGATGATGTCCGGCAGATGGTACATTTGAACTCCTTTGGCTTCTACAAGGATGGGTACATGAATGTGTCCATGAACAGCCTTGTTCTTCATGGCAACATCGACAAAATTGATGACTCCACGGTAAAGAAAATTGCCTGCAGAATTTTTGTGTATTGCACTGTTATAGACAAGTACAAGAAATCCAGAATATTTCTGGACCTGGAAATAAAATTTGTCTGGTCTTGATGCATAACCCCAATGCACATTCAGTTTTTAAACTTATGTTTAATTTAAACAAGAGATATCTGACTTAAGTCTTAAGTCGTAGGGACTTCTCCAGGGCTCTCTTTGTTTAAAGTGATGTAGGCACAGGAGTGAGCCATTTATAGCATCATGCTAATGCTAATTCACGCTGCATGGATTTGTATTTGAAGATCGGCTTCAGTTTGGACAGAACCAACAGCAACGGCTTCTCGACATACCTGGTGAGTGGAGCCCCTCCTTTTCCTCCTTTAGTCGTGTCTGGCCGTCATCATGTGAGCAACCCCCCCCCCCCCCCCCCACAACAGCACAGAGGTGTGACGGTTCGGGTGTGAGCTAACGGTGCATGCTTTTGCAGGATGAGGAAGTGGATTACTGTGCCCTGAAGAGGGTGCCAAACAGTGACACGGCTGTAGCTCTGCTGCTGATCGACTTCCAGCACAGCAAGTGAGTGATGTGGAGCAGTGTGGGGTGATGTGGGGTGATGTGCCCACAGGGCAGAGGGAAATCTCACATAGTGTGGCTGGTTGTCTCAATAAATATCGGTGCTGTTGGTCACCTTGGAGGCTCTTCACGTTGCCTTGGCTGGGTTTCTCCTTCACGGACATTCTCCTCACACAGGCAGCTAGTTTCTTAAGGACCCCAAGTTACTATTAGGTTTCATTTTAGGGGGATTGAATTCCTCGGCCTGATATATGTTCTCCTAGTGATGGCAGAAGCAAGGCTTTTTTCCATGGTGGGTGTGATTTAGTACACTGTGTCACAGGCAGCGGTTGGTCCCTTTATTGGTTTTATTGGTTTGATTGGTGATGATTGACAGCATGGGACACTTCTACCCACTGAGTGAAGTGAAGTGAAGTGAAGTGAAACTTTATTGTCATTCACACCATACAACAGTACAAAGACGGATGCAGGCAGAACGAAATTGCGTTTCTCCAAGGCTCAATGTGCAGACGTAAGGGACAAGCGCACTCAAAACAACATATACAACATGCAGGCATTCACTTTAACACGTGTACCTTTTCACAGTGTACCTGTGATATACAGTTGCACGATATATCGGTTAGCGTCGGATGTCCGTTAAAAATCAAGACATCGGCATCACTCTGATATGTCAAACTTGATCATATTGCTGGCCAATATTTAGATTTTAGTCAGTATTCAAAGGTAGCAGCTACAGAGTTAAAGACATAACTACTAAAACGATGGAGATGATTATATTGGTGGGTCAGCCATTTTCCATAGAGGAAGATGAGGGATTTCATCAGCTTATTCACCACATGGAACTTCGCTAAAGTCTCCCATGTCGCAATGTCTGCGTTATATGATGTTGTCGCTACACACACTTAAGTAACATCAGCAACATTAGTTATATTACAGATTTGTGGAGCTCAGAGGTTAGCTGCATTTCAGAATTAGCTACCAGTATCGGCAATATTAGACAAAAATACAATACTGTGCGAAAGTCTGAGGCAGTCAAAGAAAATGTTTAAACCTTTTTATCTGGACAGTAAGTGTATATGTAAATTAACAGTAACACTATAAAACTAACGAGACAACTTCTACAAAACAACATGTTGGATGGCTAGATGAACGCTGCTTTTGTCCCCAAACCTCTCCTTAGTGGCACCTCTGCCATTCTGTGTATTCATTACATTTCACAACCAGCTCACTTAATTTTAATTCGTTAAGTAACTTAATTTGGTGTTCATTAGCCAGACAAGGTATGTTAGTGGCTATGAAAGTACATGGATGTATTGGGGGGAGGTTGTGAAATATGTGATTAAACTGACACGCTGTGACAGACATAATCTAACCAATACGAACATGAAGATCATGTCAACATTATTTTCTTTGACTGCCTAAGACTTTTGCACATTAAAATTATTTCTTATAAAATCCTTAGCTGGAGAACCTAAACTGTTATATTAGCAAGGAACACACAGCTAATCTTTTTAGTTCCTTGATTTGTGATTATAAAATGGTAGTGCTCAAAAAATCAAGTCAAAAAATACATGGGTATATTGATAGTTGCTGAAAATACTGTGGTGATTTTTGGTGAAGTCCAGAAAAGGCTAAGCTGGCACAATTAGACATGAAATCATAGTTTTATACCGACATGATTTAGACGTCGCACAGTACTGTAAATCGCTTATCTATATCAGTGCACCCTCCATTCACATTGTCGCATTGCTTAGGGTGAGAATGAAAACCTCAACAAAGGACAGCACGTTCCCTGCCATCGTGTCCGAGGTGCCCATGCTACCTTTGGCAGAGGCGGGCATGAAGGAGGAAGCAGAGTCTGGCGCCAAACACACTCCTTTGTCTGCTCCAGCCAAAGCCAAAGGTAAGTTTATCAGTGGCGTTATCCTTAATTAGCTACCTCCCCCCTTAGAGGTCTTCTATCCCTAACGCACTGCAGGACGTCTCACTGCAGGGTTCCACCAGGAACTATTTACAGGTCTGACTGGCTGTTTAGTGACTCTCACTTTTCTGGATTCCCGTGTGTATCTGGTACTTCTGTATCTGGCAGTTGCCGTGTTTTGGTGATGCTAACTGGCAGGCAGATGGCAGTGACAGGTGGTGCCGACGGTGAGAAAAGAGATGTATCTCTCTTCTCTTTCAGGGGACGGTGACGCCAGAGAGAGGCGTGACGCCACGCAGGTAGGCCTACTCCTGAGGCCGTCTGGGTCACACTGGTGACCTCTGACCTCTTCTTTTACTTGTTGTCTTCTTGCACCTATTATTGCCACACAGATGCGATACACATACATTTGGATGATCATCTCTGCCAGATATCCATCCTTCTTCTCACTGCATATCCAAGTCAGGGTTGCAAGTGGCCGAAGTCTATCCCGGGGAGTAGAGGGAATGAAGCTGGGATGCCAGCTCAATTCAGGACTCCTACACCTGCACACTCACAGACAGACACCACGGTTAAATTAAGAGACACACACAGCCTGTCTGCATGTCTATGGACCATGGGAGGAAACCCGAGGACTTGGAGGAAAGTCACAATAAGGGGAGATCATCCATACGCCACACGCACACAGGCGGGAGTCAAACATCCCGGCCCTGGATGTGCGAGGTGCCCGTGCTGCTCACTGAGCCACTGTGGTGCCCTTCTGCTAAATATGTGCATTTGTATCTCGATTCAGCACTGCTACCTTTAGACTGAAAGGCGTTTTCAGCTCGGCCAAAGCCACCAGTGCCCTTACGGTTCTTGTATTCAGTCGGTGAGTGGAACTCCACAGTGTCGTTTTTGTAATAAAATGCTGTAATTGGTGACTGTTGTCCTTAACAGGGCGTTAAGACTGACTTGTCGTACCCCCTCCAAAGACAGGGGAGCAGCTACTCATTTCAGGTGAGCTTTGGCTTCTCTTTTATTGTTATTTTTATAAGTTTCCCTGCACAGAGACATGGTGGCTGACTGCTCCTCCATTTCCAGTTTCACTTCAACGTCAGCAATGAAAGCCAGCAAGGTCTGTACAACTTCTACTTTCACAACTGCTACATGGTGGACAAGCAGCAAGCAGGACCAGTGCACTTCAGTATCGACGTGAGGAGCTTCACCTTCCTTCCTTTTTCCCTCCCGCCTTCTCTCTCCTTTTCTTTTCCTACCCTCTTTTTCTCTTTCCCTCCATTTAATCTCCTCACTCCTCCTTTCCTATCCCTCATTTTGCTCTTCTCATCTTTCTCCTCTCCATCCCATTCCCCCAATTTTTCCTCTCTCCTACCTTCCCACCATTGGTTGCCTGTACTTTCCTCTGTCATGGGTTTTGCTGCACAGACGCCTTTGAATTTGTTCATGTAAAAAACTCCTTTCCGTTTCCTGCCTCAGTGACTATCTGTTCTTATTCATTTTCACTCTTGCTTCACTGACTTTTTCACTTCTGCCTCACTGGCTGTCTCTGTCCATTTTTAGCACTGCCTCAGTGACTCTCCCTATAAGGAGGTCCTCCAACTTACAGGGAATAACTTGGGGGCTGGTGGCAGGATTGGCACTCCCACTGGTCCATTTGGACTAGCGTGGTGCTGAGGTATCACCTGCCACATGGCTGCACTCAGGTTCTCATCCCTGAGGTGGTTTGTCGTGTGCTGTCGTGTGTCGTGTGCTTCTTACCTCTCAGTGACTCTCTCTGTCTTCACTCCTGTCTCACTCCTGTCTCACTCACTCTCTCTGTCCATTTTTGCTCCTGCCTCAGTGACTGTCTGTTTTTGGTCCCACCTCAATGTTTCTGGTAGTTTTTGCTCCTGCCTCACTGACTCTCTGTCCATTTTTGGCTCTTCCTCTTCAATGCTGCTGCTCTGATTGGCTCCCCAACCCACCTGGGATCCAGATCAAGATTGAGGAGAAGAACCCAAACAGCTACCTGTCCGCCGGCGAGATCCCCCTGCCCAAGCTCTACATCTTCATGTCCATTTTCTTCTTCCTCATCGGTGTGCTGTGGGTCCACGTGCTGCGCACGCACAGGTCCGTCTCACAGAAGAGCAGCCACGTTCCACTGCAGTGCTTTTACATGGAGCTCAAAGTATTATGGGATGGCCTCAAGGCTGGCTCAGTGTCTTATCTGAACTCTGCTTACCTTTAAATAGAATACATTATTCCCAATTATTAAAGTATTTGATTGCTTTATGGGATCAATAAAGTTTAATCTTAAAATTAATAGATGCAGTACCAATATTCGCCAGTAGCAGAAAAACTACAAAAACTTTGATTTATAATTGGAACTGGTTTTGAGAGCAGGCTTTGATTATATAATAAAGGTTAAATTTTGGTGGCTGACTTGTACTGAACATCAGTCTTTCAATATTCTGTACACTGGTGACGTACATAAAATCAGAATAGCTATACCAGTGCATGGTCACAAAAGTACTTAAGGAGCATAGATGAAGTATTTTTCGGCATCAAGCTAGCAAGCTAGCTGTAAGAGGACTAAAAATATAATAATGATCCATCCGTTTTAAGAGTTCAGAACAAATATGCTGTTTCCCATGCTGGCCTAGTTATAAATGGGTATAAATAGGTATGCAATCAGGGCAGAGAGGACAGTTGGAAGATGTATTTTTTCTTGAGAGTATGACATAGCGCTTCCCCTTGAGGGACATCCGGTGTCCTGGAATCAGGTCTGGTCTGTGTTTTACACTCAATATCTCCATCATTGAAGCAGCTTCACCCGGCACACCGAGCGTACATCTCATCCGCGTGTTGTAACTTGGCGAGAGTGTTCATGCACTCCTCGCGTCGCCCAATAGGGGATTTACAGCCTCATTTAAGGTTTTAGGGAAGGAAGAATCCAAATCCTTATCAAATCCCTGGCTTATCTTTCTCTCTGCTGGTCTTTATCTGTCTCTCTCCCTCCCTCCTAACCTGTTCTTATTTTCCCTCAGGGCCGATGTCTATAAGAT